TTAGGAAACATAGATGGCGAGACTTGACACATAAGCACGTTGTAAAAAATCAAATTGTTGAGTCTGACCAACGCTTCCGTGATTATGTTCTTGTTTTAAAAAGCAAACTTTTTAAAGTGCTTTTTAAAATATCAAACACAGCATCATCAGAAAAGGATGCTACAAGAATGTTTTGGTATTTTCTAATTTTTCAAGCTAATAACATAAAAAAACATTCAAAAAACTCTATCTAGGCATTTAACTGCCTCCGTGGCCGAATGATTACCATGCCGGACTGCAGAGGTCCTAGGTTCGATACTTAGGCCGGGATAAATATTTGTATGGCCTACATTTATTTCTCTTTTTTTTTTTGTTTTTTGTGGTTGTTTATGTGTGTGTCCATGGCACAGGGTTTCCCTAGTGCGGGACTTTGTTGAGTGTATGCGTTATTATTATTATGAAAATTGTAATTTACAAAATAAGCATTTCCTTTGAAAATTAATAAATTGATTTTGCATTGATTGCATTCGACAGATTCTTGTTGCCAGAAAATTACAAAACACTGTACTGGGACTTGCAGTGTTTTTGGTTTGATAAGGTAGCATACCTTCAAACATTTATAGCACTGGAGACATCGAGTATGTAACCAGAAATAGAGACGAAATGTCATTTCATTTGGTTGAAAACTATTCTGCCAAATCATTACGTTGACAACAGGGCTCCGATTGGCCAGCCCGAATTCGAAACAATTGTCGAAAATTAAATTACATACTTAATATTTAATTACCTATGAAATGTGATTCCGTTTGTTTTGTAATCAGATGTGTAGTTCTTTTTTCCCACACCACCGAATGGAACAGCTCCCCATTGTTAGAGATATTGTCTTTATTACAATAAATTCAGAATATTTTTGGAATATACGGAGACGTACACACAGGTCAGTTGTTGACGCTGTACTATTTCAACTTTCTAATTTGTAGTTTCATCGCATACGAGGGTTGATATTTAAAAGTGATATAAGGCCTATTTGCTTGATGAGCTGTCAGGGATTGATGGCCCTTATATCGTCTCTATTTCTGGTTCTATACTCGATGACTGGAAAGTCTCCAAATACGAATACTTCAAGCAGTTAATATAGATGACTTAAAGACGTCAATTTTTTTTCAAGGCTATAAGTTCCGAAATAATTTAGTTTTTCATTTAATACCCACTTCTTTCATTTTTTAATTGAACTGCCTCTGAGAGCTAACGGTTACCATGCTGGTCTGCCACGCAGAGGTCCTGGGTTCGATTCCCGGGCCGGGAGAAATACTTGGATGGCCCAACCACTCTCATGTATGTATTTCTCTCGAGAGATTGGGTGTAATTTGTGGTTAACTATGAGTGTGTCCATAGCAGCCGCAACACTGGGTATTCCTAGCGCGGGGCTATGAGTGTGTGCGTTAAATGAAAAATATAAGAAATTAAAAACTGCAAGTAGATGTTTATTAGCATTTTTTTAATAGAAAGGAAGCGAATTTTTGTAACGATATTGTAGGTACATAGCATAATAAACTTTATAGTCAATTGTGTACGTACAAACTAGTTACGAGTCAAAATACGAGTACGCGTCTTCCGCGGAGTTGCACTATAACTGGAGAATGCTCGCTCCTTCGCGAGGATTCCGCAGCTGCCGTCGGTGACGCGAAATTGACGCTTCCATTCCATCCCGTTCTGCCGTAATATAAATTGAGCCTAACAACCACAACAATTATCTCATCTCAAACTAGGAAATTGTCTGTACTATGAGTATCAGACTAACGGAATTCACTCCGGGGCACTACCTGAAACACTCAGACCAGAACCAATTTAGAAAAGTTCAGTTCCCGAATTGTTCCCGCCTTTTGACGAACTTGACACCTTATCATTCAGCGCCCATAGAACATACCATTGGGCTACCGAGATCGTCATTGAAATAAACGAACATTTATTTAGTTCGTTTTTCACACGAGATTTATTCGACGCCCTGTAATTTTATCGCGTCTGTTGTTTCCAATTGTGACGATGGATTTTGAATAAAATGTCGCATGTATTTTGCCTTTCCAATCCATCTGATAATTTGTTGAAACCAAAAATATATGAACTTGTATAAAAATATAATATACTACAACATTTAGTTCTATCAAGCACCGCTAGTTAGCATTAGTTGTACTCTAAAAATCGCTTTCGTTTTGTTCACTTACTTAGTATAAAATTGTATAAAATCTCGTTTAATAACAGTAGAGCTCACTGTGAAAGAGTTCGTCCAGGGAAGTACTATCAGCTTACCTGTTTCTGCTGCCAAGCCGTAATGTGAACATTACAGCGTTCCGGTTTGTAAGGGTAAGGGAGATGCCACACGGACGTTTCGTCGTCGCAACTGCGTTGTACTGCATATTAGGAAGATGCCATACGGGCGTTGCGTTGTCACAACTGCGTTGTATTACATATAAATCAAAACAATATGCCACACGGTGCATTGAAAAAGGGCGCGTCGACGGAACGCTGATTTATATGTAGTACAACGCAGTTGCGACGACGCAACGCCCGTGTGGCATCTCCTAAAACAGAACGACATGTCACACGGTGCGTTGAAACAGCGCGCATCGACGGAACAGCTCGTGTCGCACTCAGTCCGTAGAAATCAACGCCGTTGCGACGACGACGCTACGCCCATGTGGCATCTCCCAAAGGGTGTTGATGAAATTACAGGCACTTGGAACTAACTTGTCAACTTATATCTCAAGGTGTCGGGCGCAATGGTAGTGCCCACAAGATCATTGCGATTTAAAGCTCTGAGTGGCACTGCAACTATTATGGACAGGCGTGTCGCTTACCACCAGGCGCAAAAAAAAATTAAAAAAAAAAGAAACCCATGTATTTTGCAAGATCAATGCTTTTTAGTAACAGGAACGCTCTCTACTCGTATAACTGAACTCAAGCCTTTGAGATGTTTCGGTCCTGATAGTGTTGCATTTTAATTTCGGCACTCGACACTCTGCTATTACGCCCGTTTTACACAGGTTAAGTAATTTTTGTTAAATGTACGAACATCAGTTATATATATACTTGGTACAATTTAGCTTCTCAATTCGTCCGTCTACACACCCTTATTATTATTATTTAGTAATTTAGTATTAAAGTAATATTTAAATACATACAAGGTTATTTGAAAAGTACTAACAACCTTTCAGGACTATATTACTAAAATCATAAACAACAACTTCAGTTCCATTACTTTTTACAAAACATAATAAATTTACCAATAATTAATATTTACATTTTTCTTGTAATAATTTTTAAGATTATTGAATGTTACGATGTTTGATCACCATGATATTCAATTATTTTTGTGGAATTACTCCACTAGTTTGTTGTTAATTATTAATGCAAAGATGGAACACTAAGAAAAAACGGCCATTGACTTACAAATAAATGGACGACGGGTCTAATACAAAAACCACGAAAAAAATGTCCCAAGTCAACCTATTCGAAATTTAAATTGTAATGTCATCGCAGTATCGCGCTGTCAGTCGAACAAATGAAGACTAAAGCGGAGTGTCGCGCTCTGTATACGACTTTAGCGCCTTACAAGTGCGGACACTTTTTAGCGCGGACCCGACGTCCATATAATTGTAAGTCAATGGTAACGGCTAAGATATTAAGTAACGTGTGAAATTTGTCAACATTGTTTGTTATTATTGACATTTCATTTCGAATAACTACATCTCTTCACTGATATTAGAACTTGAATTGTAATCGAATCGAATAGTTTTGTTTTACAGAGATGTTCGAAATTTGAATGTAATAATAAAATCGAATTCAATGTTATTTATTAAGCAATGATAATATTTTCACAGATAAGAAATTTGTTCCAACAAAACAATTTATTTTTATGCTGGTCGTAATTTGATGTTTTTGAACACATCACAGTGGGTTTATGATATGTGTGTAGATAAAAATATAAGCTTTACCATTGATTTTCAATCGCAATTTCGCATAGCGTAACTAACAATTTTTTTTTATGATACGATGTGACGGGACTAACAATCGTGCGCTTGGTGGTAAGCGACACGACTGTCCATAACCAGTGCAACTCAGAACTTCGCAAAGATCCGAGGGCACTACCACCGCGCCCGTCACCCTGGAACATAAGTTGACAAGTCCCCTGTAATTTCACCAGCAGCCTTATCCTTGAAAACCGGAACACAGTAATGCTCACATTACTGCTCGGCGGCTTAATTAGGTAAGGTGGCAGTGTATCCCTGGAACTCTTTCACAAGGAGCTCTACTGTCACTAATTACAGAGTCGTCAGTTTTAAGTAATTTACAAAAGAACGTCCTTTGTTGGGTGGTTATGCAAATGAACATGCTTTTCGATTTTCCCGAAACTTTTGAATAATAACTGCCTCCGTGGCCGAACGGTTACCATGCCGGACTGCCACGCAGAGGTCCCAGGTTCGATTCCCGGGCCGGAAGAAATATTTGTATGACCTACATTTATTTCTCTCGTGAGTTTGGGTGTAATTTATGGTTGTCTATGTGTGTGTCCATGGCACCCGCGACACAGGGTTTCCATAGTGCGGGGCTATGTTGAGTGTGTGCGTTATTATTATTATTATTATTATTAATTTAGTAATTAAGTGATGATGAACATCCATAGTAGAATGCTAAACAGCGAAACTGTATATTGTAATGTTTTTTCGGCTTTTAGTTATTAATATACTTTTGGTTCAAACCAATTAATTCATATTTAGTTAGCATCAACTGTCTTAACAACTATATTAGTTATTATGAAATTTTATTAATTATTTGATATTAATAAGGCGACTTTGGAACGAGTGCATCCGGTGTTTTATTATGCAGAAATCCATTTATTTCAGAATGGTGTACAGGAGACTGCTGGCGCTGTCCCGGACGCGGCGCGTCAGTGAATCCCGGCAGAATCAGAATTGGTAGTATATCCTGAACAACGTTGTTTAGACTTTTACTTATTATTAAAATTACTCACCAGCCTGTCCTCTTTGAATCTTTGTTCGTCGGCCCACAGCAGGGGAAACCAAGCTCAACGCGCGGTCAGCTCTGGCCGGTAACTGCAAAGTCAGTGTATGAGTGGGCTCGGAGTGCCGTGCACATATAGCGGCTTCTACTATTGAGTCGATGCTTGCTGATCTTGGAAGCTGGCCTATTGATTCACGCCTGGGGAAGAAATAGAAGCAATGAATATCCTTTTGTAAAAAGAAACGAACGGTGCAACTGGAATGAATAGGTAATACACATTACGCAGTTCTATGGCTTTTGGGGTCGTGGGTCTCAGAAAACTCTTTAATTTATGCAATAATTTGTCATTCAAACACTTAAAACAATGTCAAATACGCAGATTTCTAGCAATAGATTACTAACTATGGTCAAAGTTACCTATTTCTGCCGCCAAGTGAAATTACAGGCACATGGGACTTGTCAACTTATGTCTCAGGATGACAGGCGCAGTGGCAGCATCCCTCAGATCTTTGTGATTTAAAGCTCTGAGTCGCACTGCAAATATTATAAACAGACGTGTCACTTAGCACCAGGTGCACGACTTTTCTTTCCGTCATTTGGTATCATAAAAAAAAGGAAAAGCGTATAAAATGCTCAACTTCGACAATGAAAATTCGCTATAATTATATTATTTTGCAACGAACCTATACCTACACTAAACATTACTTTCATAACCTAAATTAAGGCCTCTTAGGCCACTCAAAAGTTACTCTTTAGTCAGTCAAAGTCCTAAGCGTACAGCAAAAATTAAATTCTATGTGGGGCGCACTACAGGTTTCCGGAATGAGTTAGAAAAAATACTATAAATGGTCAGAAATAAATTTATTGTTCTCTCAAAATATTCTCTGTTAGCGTAAATGCACTTTTTCATACGAATGAACCAATTTTGAAAACATTTATGCCATTCCTCCGTGACAATCTCTGAAACATATTTTTCATACTCTTTGACAACCTCTTCAGGTGATGAAAATCGTTGAAGAACTGGCATTATCGTGGTGCAAGATGATACGGCGCTTATAGTTATTTTTACGGAGTTTATCAACAACTTCCGGCAAACAAATGGTCTTGTACCAATCACTATACAACGATTCACGGTACAACGATTCTCCAAAGCAACAGTAGCCACGTGTCCAGTTTTATTTAAAAAAGAAGCAATCATCCGCTTAGAGGCACTTTGCACGCGCGCCACTTTAGTTGCTTTCGACTCATTTCGAAAGACCCATACGCTCGATTGCTGCTTTGTTTTAGGGTCGTAACTATAAATCCATGTTTCGTCACGTATTACTAAGCCCCACCCCATATTTGACGCCCCTTCGTTGAATCTGGTAAGCATGGCATTGGACCAAGTGACGCGATCCGCTTTTTGAGCCTCGATCAAATTGTGTGTGATCCACGGGGAGCACTGCTTTTTCACACCCAAATGTTTATTTAGTATTGATTGCATTTGACTCATGCCTATGCCTAAAGATGCCCGAATCTCAAGATATGTCACATGCCTGTCTGTTTTGATCGTACGGCGCACATCATCGATGTTTTTGTTGTTCACAGCAGTGGACGGGTGACCATCACGAAATTCGTCCCTGAGATTCACACAACCTCGTTTGGATTCTGCAAAATAGCTGTAAATAGTTGTCTTGCATGGTGCTTCAACGCCAAAAGCAGCTTGAAGCCGAGCGAAGCTCCGCTGAGCTATTAAGTTACACTTAAATGCGTGGAAAATCTTACTAAGAAAATTTTCACGAGTTAAATCCATGCTGATGTAGACAAACCATTTCTTAAATGACGCCACATTGTAAAAACAAGTGGCAGTCAGATGAAACAAACTGTATTCTACAGGCAAAGAGTTCAATTTTCAAATGTTGTAATTAGTTTTGAAATATTGTTTATGTAAGTGGCCAGCTGAAACTTATAGTGCGCCCTATATATTACATAGAGACAGAAATGCGTTGGAAAAAAATATGTGATTTTGCACGACTTGTTCATCCTGTCATTTGGCATTATAAAAATAAAAAAAGTTGTAGATAGTCCAACCGAAATGCCGTCGCCAAAAAACAAATCAAAATTATATTCATTCTAAAGTGTTATTATTATTATATAACAAATCATTTCAATCAAAATTGCTTCAGAATTTCGTAATACTTTATCAACACACTTTGTTAGTGAAATTTATATAGACCCTATTAGACTTAAACCTAAAGAATAAGTTCTTGATTTATGTCTCAATTGTACCTCTACTATGAGTTTAAGATGTTAATAGTCGCAACTTTGCAAGCGATTGTGACAAATATCTGTCATTTTTGAATAGCAATACCCTTACTAAAATTTATCTTAACACTCAATTTACATTGCCGCGGGACAGAATACTCGTAGAAACAAATTTTTTAACCATATCATTTTTGAAAACTGGAGAAATCTCGCGCAGTCTCTGGAATTCCCGCAGCTACCATATCGAATCTAGTTGTATGTTCGTTACATAACATGAAACTCATAGTCACTCAGTAGATGTACTGATAAGAAAAAATTGTACGTAACAGAAAATAGTATAAGCCGGCAGTCAGTTGATACTCAGAGTGGAAAAAGTCGGCAATTACTTCTCCGCTGTCGAGACGGCTAATTGATATCGGCTGCGACCTTTAGCTACCTATGTACAAAGAGTTCGCTTAATCTAGTTCATAATGTAAAGCCACGTAAAGCTATAAAGACGTAAGTATTAAAGCCCGAAGTTATTTAATAACGGAAACGGAAAATGGAAAAGTTTTTTAAGTATAATCTGTGTTACAAAAATATGTACGGACAACGGTACACCAGACTGCACATTTTTGTTCGAAAATCGCCTACAGTGCAACGGAACAAGATACGTCAATGTGTAGCTTGATGTGCTGGCGTGTGTACCTATATTTTAGTGCCTTTATAGTCGTCTAGTTTTCCATAATGGTTGTTTTTCCTTACTTTTGTGAATTTTGTTTTCATCCTTTGATAATGGTAGTCTTCAGCAATGAACAAAGCGGTCGAACTTCGTTCATTACTCCGGGAATTATATATCGTTAGCGTACGCCATTTTGAAAGTTGTTGGCTCTTAGGTTCGGATTTTAAAAACGTTTACATGCAATGCAATCATCGAGTATATAACCAGAAATAGAGACCAAATAAGGGCCATATATTCCTGGTAACACATTAGCGATACAGCTCTTATAAATATCAACTCTCGTTTGCACTGAAATATAGACAGGCTAACTACTGACCTGCGATTACGTCTCCATATATTCCTAAAAATATTCTGTACTTATTGTAATAAAGATAATATCTCTAACAATGTCGTGCTGTTCTATTCGGTGGTGTGGGAAAAACAGCAAAATATCTAATTACAAAACAAACGGAATCACATTTCATCGGTAATTAAATATTAAATATGTAATTTTGCAATTTTCGTCCATTATAGCAAAGCTCAAGTTAACTGGTCGATTTGAAGTGAAACAGTTGACGACACCCATTGACGACACTCGTCAATTGTTTCGAACTCGAGCTAGCCAATCGGAGCACAGTAATTGTCACAGTAATGATATGGCAGAATAGTTTTCAAACAAATTAAATGACATTTCGCCTCTATTTCTGGCAAATACTCGATGAATGCAATACACATACGTCATCATCAATCGAATATTGAATAACCATCGGAGACATAGGGTTATTGCATTGTGTTAAAGTGGATAATTTCTTACTGAGGTCCTACTAAAAATTGTATCCTTTGCATTGTCTTATATTATTTTATTTCGTACCATTGGTATATGAAGCCACGTGTACATGGCAAGTTATAAGTAGTTTTTATCACACGAAAATGATAAAAATAATACGAACTACATGAAAGTGAATGTATAGTAAGTAAGTGTATGTGAAAACTCCCTTTAAATATAAAAAAGCTGACTAATTTCGTTCGTAGAATATTTAAATTTATTTCCTAAAAAGTTATCGTTTTGCAGATGTGGTCTTATTAAACTAAGAGTGCAATTTTACTTACATCTTTTTTGTAACTGTATATAGAAATCTTTGTTATTAACATAGATCTTCTATCCTATATTACGCAAGACACGCAGCCATATGCAATTATATAGTATGTATGCATACGCTTAATCGGTCAAGATATAGGAAGCAAGTTGTCAGTACCGTTTGATTATAATCGCGCCATTATTCCCTATCGATTGTTATGAGGTATTACAAACAATTTGTCAATGAACCATACTCGTACGTCTGTGGCATGTATGTTCGGAAGATAATGTTCATTTGTATCGTGGACGTTTATTTTATCGTTGAACAACTGTCGTCTCTAGCTGTTCCCACTAGATCGTGACGGCAATTTATCGATTCACGGCGGCCGCCTTGTCATTTGCACGACAGAATCATAAGAAGCCGCGATTATCTGTAGTCACATTTTTATCGTGACGTTTTTTTATCGATCTTGCCCTTCCCATTGTCACGACAGTCTGTCGTCGTAACGTCATAAAAGTCGTGAATGACAGTTAACCGTGTTGTTCTATGTGTGAACAATTTCATTTAAATATACAAGCCACGACACTTTAAACTGCACGAGTATCTGTCGTCAGGACATAATGAGAACTTTACCTTTGAACCTTATGACATTACAGGACTTGTCAACTTATATCACAGAGTGACAGGGGCAGTGACATTACCACTTAGATCGTTCTGATTCAAAGCTCTGGCGGGCACTGCAATGTGTCGCTTACCATCAGGCGCACGGCTTGTTTGTCCCGTCACTTGATATCATAAAAAAAAGTAATGTAACATGCAGGACAACCACTGAAATTAGTTAATTACTCATATGTCGTCTTAAATTAGGAAATCTCTGTACTATAAGTACCATAAGAAATTCATACTGGCGCACTATCCAGAACACCCAGAACTACAGTTCAGAAAAGCTCGTTTCAGAAATTGGTCTTATCCGGGAATTCCTAATCCAATACCGCCAGCGTTAACTGAGGTAGTAAATTGACGAGCAGTTCTTTGCAAAAGCTGAAATTTGTGGTGTTCAGCCGAGGGTTTGAAATACTTTGTATAACTCATGAATTTACGTGTCTTTGAGAGTTGAGATTAACATTCTTACAGTAGCGTCACAGCTCATTTGTGATTTGTAATTGTAACGTAAT